CTCTGAAATATTATTAGCGTTGTGATAGAATCCTTATGGCGCTCTATACCGACAACATGGCAACGCCGATCAGATTTCAGGGTATTCTATGGTTGCAACTGAACGTAAGTAATGAATAAAGTGAAATGTTCAATTTATTGTTCGTAGAGCATGAGTGTATGCATATGAGTATGGATAAGAGTATGCCTCTTCAGGGTATGATTATAACTGTAGCCGTAGCTATACCCACATCCACATCCACACCCACACTATACCCTCATCAAATAAGTATCGTTTCGGTCGAAAAGCGATTTATGATCTGGAGAGATCCACTCTTGAGTCTCCAAGTTTATGAAGATGAATCGAAAACTCAATTATTGTTTACTTGTATTATTGTCTTTCAGCTACTGCAGATCGAAATCCGACTTCATACGTGTTTCTTATGAAAATATTTTGTCATCTTGATCGTATTATATTTTGATCATGTTCGATATGCATGTAGTAACAGATATTTCATCCATTTTGCTTTAATTGATTATCATATTCTTTCGCAAGTATTAGTCATATTTCTTTGAGTCAAACATAGATATCAAAGATAGAAAAATTAAATATTTACTGATATTACAAAAAAACGACATACAACAAAACTATATTAAAAAGAAATAGAAGTTCATCGAATTATCCGCATTCATTACCACTAACATTCATATTCGACTGATTATTAGATGGTTTTACATTTTCGAATCTTTTTTTATTATTTTGTTCACTAAGTTTAGCAAATAAAGGTTCAGTATTATTAAGTAATGTAACAACATCAAGAAATGCTCCGCCAATTTTAACACCCATATGTGCACAACAAATATTTTCGAAACACCAATCGCATAGTACAGTACGCATCCAATCACGAAATACATATGGTGCATCACATGTTGGATAAAGACCAGAAGTTTTAATTGACGGATGAAATGCCATTGAACCATGTTTACAACCAAGTATTCTAAGTAAAAAACCAGGCTTTTCAGCATACATGATTGTATCATCAACATGAAGAGTTTGAGATGTTGGATGATAAACAAAAACACTTATAAAATGATTTGTTGATTCAGGTTGAGGATTAATAAATTCAGCTCCTAAAATAATTAAAACAATATCTTATTGTTTTATATGACAATAATATCTGTTTTTAAGAAAAACCTGCTGGAATACGCATTTCCACATCTGGTTCCCATTTTTTTCTAACACTACGATCTTGAAGATCTCCAGCCCATGGAATTTCAGTTAATCGACGTAAATGTCTTGGTGTACCATAATAAGCTGCTTTCGGATATGCTTTATAAAAAGCTGTAAATGATAATGTATGAAATGGATGTGTACCAATAACAGCTTCAATATTGTCTCCATTATTTGTTAAATTATCAATTTCTTGTCGAAGACGATTATTCATATTAATTGTATCAATAACAAGAAATTTTCCATTACGTAATTGTATTATTGACATTTGTGTTTCAATGTCGATCACTTTTAAACATTTAAAACGACCTCGAACATTCCAAAAGTTAGGTCCAATTAAATAAAGTTTATTTTTATCAAGCTTTCGTGCAGTATTTGGAGTTCGAGCGAGCACAGCTGGATACATATGATGATGAAAAGAAGAAAAAAAAGTGATCTAAAAAGAAGAATTGACAACACCACAAATTATCTTAAAATTTCTTAAGAATTTTTGTTTTTCTATGATCAAGTAAAAAATAGTAATAATGATTCACTCGTATAATAAAGGTTGTGTAAGGAAACATAACATTTTATGTATTGTGCTGAAAGAAAGCAATATTAACTGATTGAGCAGGCCCATGATGATAGATAAAAACAAGAAAAGTCATAGAAAAAAAAAAGAACAAATATCTTTTTCCGGCGAATCTAAGTAAACAACTAACTACTTCAGATATTGACTAAGAAACTAAAATGAATCAAAACTATTTTAGTTTATCAAATAAAAAAAAACATCACCTAAAATAACCGATGGTTTACTCAACATTTTTCAATATATTACTCTAAATTTTCGAAATCAAAGTATTAAAAATGTGATATCACTTGAACGTCAAACTATTCTTCACATTGATGATGTTAAATGTATTCTATAATTTTCGAAACTAAAAATAGACTTTAGCCGATAGACATATTCATAAATACATCATGCGAAGTAGATTGGTGTCTTATCATTTTATCTCGTTGAAAACATAATTAATAGAATCATCATAAAAATTAATAATTAGCATAGAAAATCTCAAAAAAATAAATCGAAATAAATCTTGAAGTTTAATTTTCAATCTTTCGAACAATAGTGTTTATGAGTACATAGAGAAATATCAGTATTAAAAATTGAATGTATTTATTGCATAGAAGAAGCATACCGGATGTTCATCTGATAATAACCAAAAAAAATCCAATCAGCTTTAGTCATACGATGTCTTTTCTTAGACATTATTTCCTTTGTTGTTTCACTTTAGTCGATTTCGGTTAAATCAAATTTGATCAATTTAGTAACGACTTGTATTTTTGTTTTTCGGATGATAGTCAGCTAAACTTATATACACTAAATATCAGTAATTCTAAGCCTTATTATTGGTTTATTTTATGAGAAAATTGAAAATCTATAATTAAAGAGAAAAAAGATTCGTTTCCTTTTTTTTAAAGATCTTCATGACTAAGTAAATAATTATTAAATCTCTTAGTTTATTCTATGTTACAATTGTAATGAAAGAATTATAAATAAAAATGTCATTCTATTAACAATTCAAATTAGGATAAACGAGAAAAAAACCTCGGTTAACTAATGATAATTCTTGTAAAATCAATGTTTCTCTGTGGATTTGTCATCTCAATAATCGAGACTTAGCAGAAAAGAAAAATATCTCATGTGTTCTAATTCTATTTTGATTTTACACATAATTAAATAGACGTCGTTTTTCTTTTATTATTCATACGTTGTATCAAGTTGTCTAAAGAAAAAATAACTTCAATCATAGATACAAAAAATCATGTTTACGGCTATGGTAATAATTAAAGAAGAGTGTAGGTGTAGGTGTAAATATCCGTTGAGAGAAAACTCACACCCACCCTCTCTGGTTGATTTATCTATCTGAATATATTGATTTCAAATTTTCTTATGTTCGAATACGATATCAGAAAATTTTTATTTTTGTTTTGAACTGAAACAATAACAAAATTGTATTTTCACTATTTCTTAACAAGAGGGCACTACAATTAATTAGAAATATAAACTATAAACCAGAAAAAACAACAATTATGAAAATTTTAAAAGTTTTAAAGATGTTCAAAATTTAAATGTATAATATTACTTGGAATTTCCAGATAGAAATTTTCTTATAGATAGATCTTGTACATATTAGAAAGTTTTTAAATATCGAGGCAAAACAAACTTATTCTTACAGACATATTTTAGTTGTAACTAAACATATCTGTCTAATAGTATCTCAGATTAGTGATCTTTTCACAAGGAATAGTACAAAAATTCAATAAAAAAGTTCTTTACTTAACAAAAAAGTACAGAAACCATAACGAAATCAGATTTTGTACTAACCACGAAAGCCTATCGAATGAAAAGAAGAATTTTCATTTGAAACCGTTTCCTCGTCCGAAGCAGAAGACATTACCTCTGTTGAGAATGTTCGCAGTAGCGCCGCTATATCAATCTTTTAGAGTAATCAATACAGTTTTGGTGATGTGACATAGATCAATATATATACATGTAAAGTAAGAAAAGTAAACGAGTTTTTTTTCATAAAACTAGCAACTAAAGTATTCATATATATATTCTTTTCTTTCTTCGTCTGTGAAAAAAAGAGCATTAAAAAAATTCAAGGATATCGTTCAGTGTAGAAAAAATGTTTACGTGATGATTAACTAAATAATGTTCGATACAATCTGAGTATTTCTCTCTTTTTAAAGCACATAGAATAAAAGTAGATAATAAAGAAAAATAAAACATGCATTTATTTGCCCTCTATGAACTCACCGTTTCTCTATAATCGAAGGCCAATACATGTTTTATTGTACTAGGAGAATCTTCCATTCTATATCTCTTACGTAATTACTACTATAACAATGAAAGCGATTTTCAAAAGTAAAAATTTACAAAATCATATTAGTTTTATTCTTCATTAGCTTTCAACAAAGAATTTAAAAAACTAAATTAACATTTTTATATTCGAATTATGCGTAGAATTTTTCACAATGCAAATACTTAATTATACTTATTTGTTAAATAGAAAGTTCAAGTACATTGAAGACATCATTATCGTCAGATTTCCCGAAAAATGGATATATTTTCTTCCTTGCTAGTTCATTTTTTCATAGTAATTTTGAACATAGAAACAAATTATTACAATAGTAAAATATATGTGTTAAAAGTGCATGATATTCTCTATTGTTTCGTGCTTGACCTGCCTTGAGTTGCTATGTATATTAGTCTGCAATACATGTTGATTTAATTGTTCAATAAGCAACCCCACACATCATCACTTTTCTCGACGAACTTCAAGATATACTATTGGGTTTTGCTTAAATTTAGGATTCGTATTTTACTATACCCGGTCTATTCTAACTCTGCTAGATAAAGCATACGATCGCTCAATTGATTAATATCTCCAATAAGATCCTTTCGTTGCATTAAAAACCCTAATCCGCAATATTTAGACTAGATTGAATCCACATAGCTCCAGAATGATTTAAATATTGATGTTACTTACATGCCTTTTCTCGTTGCTAGAAAAACATGGCCAATAATCTTTGGTTCTCTCAATTATTAAGGCTTAGGAGAGGAGGAGTCACAAAAATCTTGCTTTAAAATTTCACGTACTATTATTTGCTTCGAAAATATACGTGTATTCCATAATACTGAAAGGAAGCGAACTGAATAGTTTCACATACATTAAAGTTCAGTTAAAATGAAAATGTCTTCAATATCAATTTTTAGTATCTTTTTTTTCTTGTAAACAAATTCGTTATATGACTATTTCTTTTGAGAGTTGTTCTATCTTGAGTTCCATATCCCATATATATCTATGCCAGCTGGGTAAACAATTCTCATAGACAGTAAGTGCTCGTTTATAATAATTGATTGCCAATTTAGGTTGATTGAGATGCTCGTAACTTTTACCAATGCGAGAAAAACTTTCACCAATTTCTAATTGAAGTGGTGATAGAAATTTCATACGCATTAATACACAATTCATTTCATATGTCAAAGAGAGTTCGTGATGATTTCTATTTGTTTGAACTCGACTCAAGTACATAAGAGTGTCAGCAATTACAGGATCATTTATAGGTAAACTTGCCTCTCTTATACATAAACATCGTTCAAAATATTCAATAGCACGATCAAAATCTAATTTTTCATTCCCAATAATTGCCATCGATTGTAGACACCTAGCTATTTCAATATGATTCATTGGATAATGTTCTTCGAGTAATGATAACGCTTGTTGATAAGAATCGAGAGCATTATCATATTCTTGTTGTTCACAGAGTATTTCACCTATGTCTTGGAAATTGTTAGCAATAGTGAAGTATTCAAATGGACTATTTTCCTTCCGAATTCTTAATACTCGTTGTTGCATGCGTAAAGCTTCATCATAGTCTAATCGCACTTCATAAATTAAACTAATATTACGCAATATAGTGGCCATATTCGCATAGTTAGATGGATAATCTTTTTCATAATTTATTATTGATTTTTGATAGAAGTCAAAAGCTTCATCATATCTAGCTTGTAGATACATCGTATTGCCCATATCACCGAGAGTACTAGCAATATCTGCATAGCTACATGGATTGCATTTCTCTCGAACCGCTAGTGCCTGTTGTTGAAACTCAAATGCTTTATCGTACTGTTTTTTTTCCCTTAAAATTCTTCCGATAGAATTAAGACACGAACCTATACAAGCATGACCATCTGGATATAATTTCGCGTAGATTTTTAATTCTTTTTGCTTCATCTCGAGAGATTCATCGTACTTTGTTTGTTCTTTTAAAATACCACTAATGTATTGTAGATTATCTGCAATATCAGCTTGATCAGATGGGCAATATTGTTCTCTGATAGAAATTGCTTGTTGATAGATTTCAATAGCTTGATCATACTCTTTTAGATGGACTCGAAGATGTCCTATACTTGTAAGATCATTTGCAATATTTTTATGATCTGATGAAAAATGTTCTTCTCGTATTGCTAATGCTCGTTGTCGATAGAGAAGTGCTTCATCGTATTCTTTTTGATCACCAAGCACATAAGCAATATTAATAAGGATAATAATGATGAAATCATAACTAGAGGAATAAAATTGCTTGCAGATTGCTAGCGCTTTTTGATAATGATCAAGAGCTTCATTGTACCTGTCTAGTTCTCGTAGGACATTACCAGTCTCGTTGAAACTAGATATAATATTTTCATGATTAGATGGACAATGGATTTCTCGTATTTTGAGTGTCTGTGTTTTAAAATCGAGCGCATCATTGTATTTTTGTTGTTTTTTAAATACATCACTAATGTTATTGAGTATAGTAGCAATGCTTTCATAGCCAGACGAATCGAATGTCTTTCTTATTTCTAATGCTCGTTGATAAAAATCCATGGCTTCATCGTATTTTTCTTGATCATAGAAAATATTAGCAATATCGTTAAATCTTTCAGCTATATTCAATTGTTTTAATGGATTGAATTTTTCTTGAATTGTTAAAGCTCGTTGTTGAAACTCACATGCATCCGTATATTTGCGTTGACAACGAAAATTACGACCTATATCTATGCAAATATTGGCTATTTCAGCATGATCAGATGGCAAATATTTTTCTCTAATCGATAATACACGTTGTTGATATTCAAGTGCTTCTTCGTTCTTATCTTGTAAATAGAGAATATGGCTAATATTTCTTAAACTATTAGCAATGTCTAATTGTTTTGATGGATAATCGCCTCCAAGTTTTACAAGTAGTGAATAGACTTTTTGATGATAATCATATGCTTCATCATACTTCTTTTCATCTTGTAATACAAAACCAATTTTATTCATTGTTGTAGCCATACTGATATGTCCTGAAGGATATTTTTTCTCTTGAATCTCTAATGCTTTTGTATGGGCTTTCATAGATTCTTCAAACTTTTTTTGACGTCGAAGTATATTACCAATGTTATTTAATGTATCTGCAATATTTGGATGGTCAGAATGATAATAGCAATTTTGATTTTCCAATGCTTTTTGAAAGTAGTCAATGGCTTCATCGAACTTATCTTGATTATTTAGAACAATACCGATATATGTCAAAATATATGCGATTTCACCACGAGAATATGGACAATACTTCTCGATTATTGCTAACGCTTGTTGATAGATTTCTAGAGCTTCATCGAATTTTTCTTGTTGATTTAATATATTACCTATGTTTTTAAGTGTAAAAGCTATACTTCCATGACCCAAGGAATAATGGTTATTTAATATTACCAGTGCTTGTTTATGATAACATAAAGCTTCTTCATATTTCATTTGACTCTTTAGAACGTCTCCGATCCAATCAAATGTATCTGCTAAGATTACTTGAAACGATGGATAATATTTCTCTTGTATAGCAAGTGCTTGTCGATGAAAATTCATAGCATCATCAAACTTTCCTAATCTATTCAAAGTCACACCAATATTATTCAAGATAGTTATTTGATTTATATGACCAGAAGTGTAGTATTGTTGTTGTATTTTCAATGATTGTTGAAAAAATTCCAAAGCAGATTCATCGTTGATTAATCCAAAGTTAATAACACCAATCGTACAAAGATAATCAGCAATATTGATGTGATCAAATGGATAACATTTCTTTTGCATTATCAATGTTCGGCGATGAGTATCAATAGCTTCATCATAATTGTCTTGTCTATATAGAATGTATGAAATATCATTAAGTGTGGATGCAATGCACACATGACCAAAAGGATAATATTTTTCATAGATTGTTATTGATCGTTGATAAAATTCAAGAGCTTTTTCATAATTTCTTTGTTCACGAAAATAGAATCCAATAGAAATTAGACATTTTGCTATATCGATATGGGAATATTTATAATATTTCTCCAAAATTGTAAGTGCTTGTTGAAAGTATTCAAATGATTCATCGTACTTGTTTTGTTTAAAGAAGATATCACCAATATTACGCAGACTAGTAGCAATATGCACATGATCCGGAGGATAATTTTCTTTTCGAATTGTTAATGCTCGTTGATAAAAATTCATAGCCTCGTCGAATTTTCCATCTGCAAAGAGAATGTCTCCTATATCGGAAAGTATTCGAGCTGAATCTTTGATATGAATTTGTTTTGAATTCATCGCTCGATCATAATATTTACGTGCTATAATCCATTCTCCTTTTAAAAAATGTATTTCACCAAGACTATGTTCTATCCATGCTTGATCCAAATCATTTGAATCGATTAATATTTGCTCAAAATATTTTTGTGATTGATTCCATTGTCCTCTATCCAACATAAGACGTCCGAATATAATTTCAATACTTAAATCTTCAGATTGATATTTACGTGTATTTTCAATATATTTTTCTAGAATAGATTTTCCTTCATTTGAAATACTCATTTTAATAATCCAAATGTCTTCTTGAAATTCAATATTATCTAAATGAAATATGACACTTGAATCAAAGAGAATATCATCTTGATTAGAAAACGTATTAGATTTATCTATGTCAGTAAATAACACATATTTGTCAAAATCTTGTGAATTTAATTCGATTTCAAATATAGTAGAAATAAAATTCATTGATTTTCTAACAATATTCAATGCATTTGAACGAAATCGAGTTGCTGTTAAGAATCCATTTGTTAAAAAAAGTTTTCCTTTACGTTTTCGAAATTCATCAAGTTGATCATTCGATAATTTTATACCTCGATAAACAGTAAGATTTTCATGATGAATTTTATTTTGATGTTGTCGCATAAAACTTTGTACAAGATCAATCATGAAATATCTCAATATATTTAATTGATCGATGTCTTTTGTTTTAAATGCTTTTGTAATCATTTTATAAGGAAATGATTTTTTAAAATACCATTGAATAACTTTATCTGAATGATATTCATGTTCAAATTCATTAATTAATTTTAAATATTTGAAATTATCTTTATAATATTGACGACATAAATCAATCATTTCATTTTTAGCTAATTGATCATATGATAATTGCAAAATAATATTATTAAATAATTGAAACCAAAATAAATCCGAAGTTTGTTTCGATAAATCTTGTATTAAATATTCAGATTGATCAAAAAAACTAAATGTTGAAAATAATTCATTGTTAAGTTCAATTTGTTCTTGAATTGATGAATACAAATTTTCTAGTTCAGTATAAATACCAATAAATTTCAAATATTCACCAATAAATTCTTTGCTTTGATTCTTATTGAAATCAAATATAAAGATGGAATTTATTTGTGGAAGTGTATTGATCTTATCTAATATTTGAGAGGCATCCATACTCGAAGTAATTAAGAATATTTTGTCTTGATTAATCGAATGAATGTAATTTATACAAGATTCAATTTCATTGTAATATAAAACATAATCATTGATTTGACGTAATCGTTCATTGATGTTATGTGTTTGATTGTACGAATGAATATTGAAATCGAACCAAACAATTGTAATACTTTCTTTGTTTTCTTTTGTATTTGTCATGTTATGGCAAACTAGAACGAAAAATAATTCTTACGAATAATCGTCATAAAAAGAGCAGTCATCCTATTCCGCATAGTTACACATTCCTGCACGTTCCTGCACATTCCTGCACATTCCTGCATAGGTACATGTATTCATGTTCTACTTAACACTGCGATAGAAATAAAGATGCAATTCGGTTTTAGAATTCCGGAATTGCATCTATATGGAATGACCAGGAATTCCTGCACACTTCTGCACATTCGTGCATATTCTTGCATATTCTTGCATAGGTACTTGTATTCATGTTCTACTTAAAATTGCGCTAGAAACAAAGATGCAATTCCCCTTTGAATTCCGGAAGTGCATCTATATCGAATGACCAGGAATTCCTGCACATTTCTGCACATTCCTGCACATTCGTGCATATTCCTGCATAGGTACATGTATTCATCTTCTACTTAACATTGCGATAGAAATAAAGATGAAATTCCCCATTGAATTCCGGAATTGCATCTATATGGAATCCCCAGGAATTCCTGCACATTTCTGCACATTCCTGCATATTCTTGGATATTCTTGCACATTCCTGCAGGAATGACCCGGAATAGGCAGGAATGACCCGGAATAGGCAGGAATGACCCGGAATTCCTGCATATCCAAATGATTACGGTTGTGCACAAATTCCGGAACTCCGCTTTCCAATTATTCAAGCTCGAGAAATGATCATTTAGCCATCAATGACATGTTTGTAATTCCGGAATAGCCCGGAATGACCCGGAATTCCTGCATTTCCCAATGATTACCGTTGTGCACAAATTCCGGAATTCCGCTTTGCATTTCTTGAAGCTCGAGAAATGATCATTTAGCCGTCCATGACATGTTTGTAATTCCGGAATAGGCAGGAATGACCCGGAATTCCTGCATTTCCCAATGATTACCGTTGTGCACAAATTCCGGAATTCCGCTTTGCATTTCTTGAAGCTCGAGAAATGATCATTTAGCCATCCATG